GAGAACAACGTTTTCGAAGGTTGAACATTTAGTAAAATGCAAAAATATATAAAAGGTATCCGAAAAGCGCCTAGTCTCCCTCCTACCATGAAATCCGGAAAGCTAGAAAGCAACGAAGAATGCGGTAAAGCTGAGTTACTATACGACTACTTCATATCTGTGTTCGGCCAAAGTGAAACACCGATTCCAACAGGCACACGAGGCGGATCGACCGTTATGAAAATATCTGAAAAATAAAAACAATTAAATGATACTATGAGCCACTTAAATCCGGACAAATCAACCGGACCAGATAAAATTGGAAATCTAATTCTAAAAATAATGTCATCACGCCCTTTATAAATCCATGAAACTCCTATTTCAAACTTCCGTAAATTGAAGATGTTTTCCGACATTATGGAAAATTAGTCAGGTTTCACCAATCTTCAAAGAAGTAAATAAAGCAGACATTACTTGCTATAGACCGATAAGCCTTCTTTGTTGCTGTTCTAAAGTTTTTGAAAAAATATTTTTTGATGAAATTTATAATTTTTTCTGGACCGAATTCCACCCTAGTCAATACGGTTTTCGGAGAAGCGATCGGTCACACTATATCTAAAATTCTTTCTTGATAAATTGTATAAACACAATGATCTCGAATCAACGAAGGAACTCAGCGTGCTATACCTCGACTTCGCAAAAGCCTTTGACATCGTCGCACATGATAAACTGATAAACTACTGCTCAAACTTGGAGAGCAAGGAAGTGTCATAGGCATAATCAACTAGGGGAAGTGTCATATGCATAATCTGCTGATCTGAGAGGAACAATATGTTCAAATGAACCAGAAAACTTCCCGCCAAAAATGCCACCAGCGGAGTACCCCAAGGGTCTATCCTTGGACCACTATTATTCCTCTTCATCAATGATTTACCTGAAACAATGAAAGAAATACCCTGTTACGGTACGGGTACGCCGATGATTTTAAAGCATTAATCCAAAGCCAAGGTAAAATGAACAAAACAACACAAAAAATTGAAAAATGGTTTTCTGAAAATAAGATACCAAATACGAAGAAGTCTCATATTGTAAACATAAAAAGGGGCCTTAAAAGCCAATCTCATGGGCAGACCTTTGGAGCCAGTTGAATCCCAACGTGACCTTGGGCTCATTGTACATCAAAATCTAAACCGGGCTGAAAATTGTCATATATGTTCCAAAACGGCAATGAATGCACTCTTTCAAATTAAAAGAAACCTTACTTCGGCCTGCCACTGGAAGATTATGTTGAACGCGTATACTGGATACGTAGTACCGATAGCAACATTGATTCGCTAGGAAACACCAGACAAAATCGAAGAGGAGAGTACAGGCTGTACAAATTAAGATTGATGAAAACCGATGACAACTTGTTCCGATGAACGAAACTTCTCCTCAACTACGTATCACGAACGTACCCTAATTTCGGCAACGAGCTTAATAAAAATACCTTGCAGAAAATATACTGGCACTTCTTTATTAGACACTACTTCGAAAAAAATGCACGTGGAGAATAATATGCAGATGTGGAAGCTGCAACATCACAATTAAGATAAAACTAAACTTTTGAGCTTGAACCTGGGTGTGAACCCTTGAGAACTGTCTCTAAATCTTTTACTATTACTACTACTACCCATAAAAATCATTTGATAAAGACAATTTTCTTTGTCAATCTATTCTTTTTGAAGATGAGCAATGATGGCCGCGGTTTCTTTTGTGCGTGTAATATTCTTATTTTTTGCTACTTAGTTGTGAATATTCTTTGAAGGCCATGGGAACTAGTGATTAGCCATCGTCCTTCATCCAGTCTTTGGACGTCTTTCTAACCTATAATATTTACTATCTACATATATTTCAAGTATATAGTGCTTTTGTAAATTATCCAGACAAAACTAACAAAATTTGAAATTTCAAACGCGTTTTCTCAAATTGGGTTAAGATTAGACAAAAAGCGAAGGACACAAAAGCTGCTTAGATTGCCTTGATAACCAATGAAGGCCATTTTTACCGTATAAAAATCATAATTTTTGGCTGAAACCTAATTTCAAACGTTTCACGCAAATTTGTGGAAGTTATTGTGTTAATTTTATCAAAAAGTGTCAGTGATCAATTGTTCTTGAAGTTCGAAGAGCTTTAATTTGAAATAATTTTTTCTTTGAAGTTTAAAAAGAACGCATATAAATTTTCCGTTAATTTTTTCATTGAATAACCCGGATTTCAAATTAACGAATTTTAAAGTTGTTTCGATCATTGAAAATGTGGAGAGACTGAGGATTCGGGTCTATTTCAGTTTTTTTTTGTTTTTGTTTTCCTCGCAAAATCAGGTGCTCCAGAAGTGCCGCCTTCCAGTGGTGGACTCAACGCCTGTGCAAACAGCCGCAAATGGCACTTACCCTACCCTCCCCAACAGGGGAGCGCGAAAAGCATGCGCGGACTGAGCTTTTGCTTACGTAGCTTCCTAAGTCGGACGGGTTGATCCGTCTTCTAATCCTTATACTTCTCGTTATCGCCGGCCACAATCCGGGACCTTATACCTGCTCCCCGGGCAATCACAAAATCCTCTGTTCCCAATGGTGCCACATTTGGGATGGCTTTATTTAAAATGCAGTGGTCTAACCTCACTGAAACACCATCACAGAGATTTTTACCCTCCTTAACTACACTGCCCCCAGCTACTAACACCCCCTTGATTTCAAACACCGTCACTAATATGCTTCAACTATCTGCAACAACCCCCCCCCCCCCACCACACTAACCAAGTAAATCAACTCTCGCCGTCAATTAAGTCCCTGAATATTCTGCTGGCATCTCTGGGAAAGCACCGGAAATAGTGACTTTAATAAGCGAGTACCACATCCACATTGCAGTTTTCCAAGAATCTAAACTGAATCCGAAAAACCGCTTTCCCTCATTAGGGCCTAACTACACTTTACTTAGGAAGGGCCGATCGCGAGAGGGAGGAGGTCTACTAACTGCAATTCATAACTCTTTTCTCTACGACGTATATGAAATAGTGGAAGACGGAACTCTGGAGGCACAAAGTGTATATGTAAAGGCCAATAATCAGAATCTCCTTATCACGAATTTTTATATTTCTCCCCATAGTAGCTGTCCTAAAAAGCAACCATTTCAACTCTCCTCTCAGAAGAGAATAGTATTGTACTAGGCTCGCTCCCCACTTTGGTGCTCTAAGATACCAGAGGACCGACGCGGGGCTAATCCATTTAAAGAAATTGTTCTTCTCTTTTACTCCACTAAATAATTACCATCAAACTCGACTGCCATATCATAGAAATTCTTCAGCATCATCACCTGACATATCACTCGCATCTCCCTCAATTTGCTCAATCTTGCTTGGCAACTAGTCATGAAGCTGGGCTCAGACCACCTACCAGTTTTTATTGTTCTTCCAATTGCTGAGGATATCTCTTTTGCTCCTCATAAAACTTATATAAATTTCAAAAAAGCAGACTGGAAAAGTTTTAAAAATGAAATTGAAGGTACTAATGCAAAAATATCGATATCGATTCAGCTAGATGTTACTTCCGCTGAGTGGATTTTTGGTGATACTGTTCTCTCTGCATCTCGTCACCTTATCCCTGCGAGCTGAATGACGCAACAAAGAAACTAGTACAATAAAGCGACAACATCAGATTAATAAATCCGTCAGACCCAATTTTAAATGACCTAAACAGAGAAATCATGCCTAAAACGGCCAAAAAAAGAAAAGAAATGGCGGGAATTCCTCTAGACTTTCAGTCATCATACTTCATCTAGCAAGTTTTGGAAAGCCGTCCGATCGTTAAAGGGCTCTAAGTCTGTGGTAGGAACCCATTCAAAAGTGTCCAGCAAGCTATTCCAGATGCTCCCCCCCCCCCCCCCCAAAGTACTTCCACTCATACCCCCGATATCTCATCTTCTGAACAATCCCTGCCTCGGTGCACCAGGCGAACCCTTGCCCAATCAAGATCCGGCCATAGTCCTTTTCTACACAATTAAAACAGAAAAGATACAAATGTCCCCCCAAAGTTTCTAGGACTCGGTTTGAGCATGCCGGACGCGCTTCTGGTACCAAAAATAATCATGGGAAAGGTTCGAGTGATCTACCATCTCGAATCCAGTTGTGATTCGAACGACTTTGAAAGTTTTCCAGAAAAGTGTCCTAGTGTCGAAAAAAAATGTTGTGAAATTTTCTATCTTCAGTCTAATTTCGAGCGAGAACTTGATTTCACCTACAGAAAAACTTGTTTTGAAAGCTTTGTTTAGCGCTTTCGTGGTGAAAAGTTTCCAACAAGGTAATTATTGTGCCAATATATTAGAACATTTTTCTTAGTTTTCGAAAGTTTTCCTATCCAAATTTTTTTGCTTGTTATTTGCTTTTTAAGACAAATGTTGCTCTTGGCAAGCAACCGTCTTTGCTTGTTTAATTTTGGTTTGTTATAATTACTTTCCAGATATAGCCAAGTCTTCAGAATTTGTAAAAGTTTTCCATGTTATATTAAGGAATTTATGCTTTTTAAAAAAATGAGTCGAATTTGTACAACAGGTAAAGAACTGCTTTTCGTTAATCTCTTTTTTCATTTGGTTGCTGTTGATAAAGTTGTTAATAGACCACAACGCCAAGTCAGGTCAACATAACATGTTTTCTGAAATCCAGTTTCTTATAAGTGTAAATGAAGGAAGTCATTTTTCACTCATTCAGGACGTTTATTATTGTTTTTTTTGGAGAAGTCTCCAAGTTTGGTCACGTTGAATTTTTCATGGAGGTTCGGCTTTATTTTATTTCTAAATTTATCTTGCAATCATTTTACAGATGGGAAAGATATGCTCTTAAATGAGAAAAATTGACACCAAACTTGAGATGTTGATTTTAATTTGTAATTTTTCCGGCCAAATAAAAAAAAATTTCATCCAGTTTTTCTAGGTCAGTGTCATGAAGCAAATCTTGCAAAATGTCTGTGATCTGTATGATGTTTATGTAGATCATTCCTTTTCACTAACGTGTAGTGATTCCTACAAATTGCGCGGCGGCAAACTCGAAAATCATCTGTTATGGCTGGAGATTGACGACTATTCCTACAGTGATTTTGAAATCAGGTCAGTGCATGAACATTAACGATAACCAGCGAATGGGGAAAAAGTAATTTTTTGGTCGGAAAAGTATTTTTTAAATTTTTTTGGTGGCCAAAAAGTTTTTAAAAAAAGTAAGTTCAAAATAATAGTAATTCTGGTTTCTGCGATTCGTAGAGGATCTATGAAAGGCTATCCAGCCTGTCTGCGCATAGTACGTTTCGGTTATTTTCCTTGTTCCAGACTCAGTTTTTTTTTGTTGAGGCAAGCTCTTTTTTTTGCGACTCAAGGCCGTTTTTTGTGTCAAGAACTTTCACGTGGTGCAGCCGAAATCGGTCAGGCTGTGGCAGACCTGTAGCTAGATGTCAAGTGAGAGCTTGTCCTCACATACTTTCATTACCATGGCGGGGGATTGATTGAACGATCTGACGACCACGAAGTGAACGCCGCACTATGCTAAGTGCCTCCGCAAAAATTTTAAACTTTGACGTATTAATGCATAAACCAACACTTTTGCATGTTTTCCATCTGTTTTTTTTCTCACGATCACGCATTTTTTGCTTCAAAATAGTGAAAACTGTGTCAACTTAAGATTTTATCCCCGCATAACGAATTTGGCAGAATTTTTTCATCACAAAATTCAGTTTGTGGTTATTTTAAAAAAAGCTGTTTTTACGACAATTCAACGCAAAATTATATGTAATTACGAACGAAAAATTTTCAATTTTTTTTAACTATTTTTGCTCTCTTTCGATTACCCATATGAGTTTTTTTGTTTGATCAAGTTTAAAACTTGTTTTTTTGCAAAACTTACATAAGCAATTGGTTAATCGAGCGTTTTATACGGTTGTGTTTGAAGATCTACTATCCTTGAAATGCATAGTTTTTTTTCCATTTTCAAAGAATTATCGCCTGCTTTTACTTGTTTACGCTTGATAAGATGCAAGAACTTTTATGGTCATTTTTCTCAAGATCCAATTTTGTCAGCCGCAGATATTTTTGGTGAAAAGTTGGAGGAAACCAATAGCAAATGATTAGTAAAGAAAGACTTTGTTTCAGCACGACTGGTGCCCAGAATCAACTTTCTCACTATTTGTGGAGTAGCCTTTCTCATTTATGCTATACAATGGACAGAACGGTTACTGTTGAACCATCTCCATTCATCAATGTGCAGAAAGATCGAAACGTGTTCACTGTAATAGACACATTCAGTATCTGCGTTGTGTTATTCTACTGTGTTGTTCTTTCGGAACTTTACCAGGACAAGCGAATCAGAACTGAGCTACTTTTATGGTCATTGGGCGTGTCTCCAACTGAACAAATGATCGCATGGTACATATCCCAGATCCTGCAGGCCATGGTATGGTCAATGATTAGTATGGTCCAACTGGTGCCATTCATTTTCACCATGGCCACCAATATAGTTTTTCTCTGGTTTTGCATGACTCTTGTGTTCTTCGGTGCGGCTATTTTGGCTTTGTTCTCGGCCAAGTTTGTAAGAGGCACTATGTCTTACCTCTTTGCCATTTTCCAAATGATGATTATCTGGCTGTTCTCTTATATCTGGACTCAGACTGGTCTGCCGCTGCCGACTTCGCAAGTTGTGAGAAATCTTCTTCTGCTGCACCCAATAACACAAGCCCTCAATTGGTTCAAACTCGCTCAGAGCGCCGAGTTCTCAAGAGAAGGTCTCTCCCTGTCTACTCTAACCAGTACTTTCAACATGAAACAGCATGATTTCTTTGGAACGGGGCTGGAAACATTGTTGCTCATTTTGACAGTAGCAATTGTCTGCTCAATTCTCTTCTTGGTTAACTTCAAGTACTTTTTGGACTTGATTCGGAATGCATTGAATTTAGACACGCTTCTTCTCGGACTAAAGCAGAAGCCACATGCAAATGAACATCTGGAGAGGTTTTACGAACGCTATGAAATGTCTACCAGTAAACCTCCTATTGTAGAAGTGAAAAATCTTTCCATGAGTTATCCCAACGGTTTCCAGGCACTTACTGATGTTTCCTTTTCAATTAACCCCGGAGAAATTTTGGGACTCCTAGGCAAAAATGGAGCGGGAAAATCTACCACGATGAACATCATATCGGGGTTCTATGAGGCAAGTGAAGGATTTGTTAAAGTTGGAGGAATTGATTTAAGCTGCGATAGAATTGCAGCTTTGAATAATCTATCGTTCTGTCCTCAAGATGATCGCTTTTTCTATAGACTCACGGTGACTGAGCATTTAAAGCTGGTTTGTCGGTTGAAAAACGCTAAGTATAATTCGGAACGTGCTGACTGGCTTCTAAAATTTCTGCAATTGACGGAAAAAAGGGATACAAAACCAAGGAACGTTTCTGGCGGTCAGAAAAGACGAGTGTGCATAGCGATGGCTTACATAGCTAATTCGCCGCTGGTTATTTTAGACGAACCGACTTCGGCTGTAGACGCTGCCACTCGCAAGACGCTTTGGAGTTTTTTCCAGGCGCAGCAAAAAGCGAATCCACAGCAATCAGTGATTCTATGCACGCATTTCATGCAAGAAGCAGACGTGCTATCGCAACGCATCGCAATCATTTCTGAAGGTCAACTGAAAGCAATCGGATCGTCCACTTACCTCAAGTCTCTTTTCGGAGTTGGTTACACGTTCACATATGAGAAGGCTTACGATCAAAAAGTTAGAGCGGTAGTCTCCGAGAATTGTGCAGAAGTTAAGTTTCCCAGTAGCGAAGAAAATGGAACTTTCCAGGTTCCAATGGAATTGGCAAGTTTTCTTCCGGCTATTCTGAAACAACTGGATACAGCCGGACTTGGATACAGTTTCAACGCGGCAACGCTTGAAAACGTATTCGTTTCTCTGTCGACTAAAACAACACAAAGTAATTGTGATAGTAAGGCAGATGCAGAAAATGCTGTTCTAGATACGGATTTTGACGAAGGTCTTCTTGACTTAGCCGACAACACTTCCAGTTTAAATTTCGAAAATAACCCTTCACATATTTGGTTTCTCAACCAGCTCAAGTTCTCGTTCTATGTCGACTTCCTGCGCATTTTTGTGGAAAATTGGATATTTTTTGTCGTTTATACGATCTTTTTCTTCGCCTTTCCTCAGGTCGTCATGCTGCTGTGCAATCTGGATGATAGTTTGTTCACCAGTGAAAATATTATCCAAAATGGAAATATCACTGTGACACCAGCTACCATAAGCAAAAACCCAAAAGTTGCCATTTTTGGACAAACATTTGAGCCGGAATTGTCCAACATTACAAACATACTCTCTAAAAATGGAGTAACAACGGTTACGAATAAAAGTTTGGACACAATTCTGGATGAGTATTTGGATAAACCTGGTGAAATCTTCAATACGTACCCTTTTTTCCTGAACTTTACCGATGGCGGCGAAGTCCAATGTGCGCCGAATAATCATTTTCAAAGTAGCTCAATTTTGTGTGTTTTGCTACTGATGAACTTGTATATAAAACCAGCATTCCTATCTGAGTTACCGGTTAATGTTAGTGTTGTTTATTTTGAGGAGGAGGTTTCTGATGATGATGATGGCTCAAGTTATTTATATGCTGATTATGAAGAGCATAAGAGTGAAAGGCAGGACCAGTGCAAAGGCACTATTTTCTACTTTTTGGAGCCGATCATCTACTTTTGTCTGCTATTTTTCATTTTGAGAGTTGAAGCGAGTCGAAACGAAGTTGGACTCTCGTCATTTTACCGAGCAAATGGCGCTCACCCCTTGTTCGCCTTTACCTATAGATTGATCACCTTATTTTTCATCATTTTTGCTTACTTCTTTGCAATTGTGATTTTAACAGAACAAGTGCCGTATGTTGCACAATTAGGCGCAGAAGAAAAGATACCATCGTACAAGCTGTTAGATGCAATAGCTCTTTTCTCATTCGCTTTTGCATGTTTTGCCATCCTAGTAACCAAGTTCCTGAAATCTGTGATCGTGCAGCTATTAATTACTTTCGTTTCGGGCGTCATATATTTTGCTGTATTTTCCATGGGGGATGCAAAAAAAGGTTTGCTCCAGGTTTCAAATCTGTTTTGGATTCTAGTTGCACCACTTTACAGTGTTCCAATAAATACTATTCCTATTCTACTGAATAGTGAACAAAAAACGGAAAAAGTTGCCATTCACAGTTGGGCTATACAATTGAGCATATTTTTTGTTCTTATTTTTATGATTGAGTCAATGGCAGGTAGAATTGTTATAAACGCGATATCTGCGTTATTCTCCGGAATAGACGATAAATGTGATGAAAATGAATCTCAAGTAGAAGGTTCCGAGAGCTCTCAGCTTGCGATACACGGACGGAAGGTGTATCATACTTACAGACAACTTAGTGTTGGAGTGTGTTCTTGCTGTAAAGGTGACGGTTGTGCCCTGATGAAAAGAACCCGAGCGCTTCGAGGGATGCGTTTGAATGTTAAGAAAGGCGAATGCTACGCGCTGCTAGGAGTGAACGGTGCTGGAAAAAGTACATTATTTGAAATCCTTACTGGAGGCAATAGGCTACAGAAAGGCTCTGTTTCTATATCCGGAAAATCAGTTGCTATGAACCCACTTGCGGTTCTAAAAGACATCGGTTATTGTTCGCAGATGGACAAGGTTCCTAAGTATCTCAAAGTTTCAAAAATCATTGAGCTGTTCGGCCAAATGCGAGGTCTATCAAAAGAACAGATCCAGCAACAGATGGATTATATGGTACGTGTGTTAGATGTTAGTGCGCATATGAGCAAACTGCTTGGAAGGTGTAGCGGTGGGACGAAGAGGAAAGTGTCGACAATGGTCGCTTTCATCGGATTTCCGAAACTCATCATTTTGGACGAAAGCACGACAGGTATATATAAATAAAGCGACTTGAAAAAAATTAATTTAACCGTGCGTGGGGAAACGCTCTGATTTTTTTTTCAAACAAGATGTCTTAAATTTAAAATCTTCCAATATTTTAATGTAATGGGCGAAATTATTGCCACATGTAGAAATAGTTGCAAGTTTTTCAGTTTCAAGTGAAGATATTTTGGTCTTTTGGTTACTTTTTTTCGGAAATAAGTCTGGAAATTTGTTGAAAATTGTTGAAATCGGGTTTATCTGCTTAGGTTTTGTCGGCGTAGTTGCCACAGCACGGATTTTCAAAATCTTAAAGTAAATCGCAAAAATTTGAAAGTTAGAAAATAAATCCAGGCCATTAAAGTTACTATTGACCGATTAGATTATAAGCAGATAAGTTATCAAGACCGAAAATTTTTTATGATTTTGAACTCATTAATCTTGATGATTATCTGAATAGTAATGCGGTTGTAACCTAACCAGCAATTTGTAATACTTTTGATTATTTTCCACTGATTTGATACCTTTTCTGTTAATATTGACTTCGATTTAGTGGGAAAGGCATTTAGCCAATAATAACGCTTAGCGATTTTGATTGGTTGAAACTTTTCAAGCATTCGGTTCTTTAAGCATAAGAACCTCCCCGTTTTATAGGTTTAGTACTCTAATTTTGTGTCGTTGTTAGGAAAAACTAGATTTTTTCCTTTTGAGTTTTCGGAGGGGGGAGGCGTAAGAATTTAGAATTTCGGAACTTTGTTTTTCATGACAACAATTTTATTTTCAGCTCAACGAGAATTTATCCAGCCTTTACCATAAATGTTTCATAATAATTGTTTTAACGACGGCGGTGATGTTACTGGTCTTTTTTTTTTAAAATTGAAGATCATTCGGGACAAAACTTTAAATGTTTTGTAAATGTGGTTTTTCGAATAATTTTCCTAATGACTTTCCTATAATTTTTCGTCTGTTTCGTTGCTATGTTTGTATAGTATCGCTAGTGGTCGGAAGTTTCACTCCGCCTGTATTTTTCAAATTTCTCGCAAGAATAAAAAAGTTGCCTAATCGTCTAGTTTTTAAAAATTGGATTAGTTTTATTAATAAAGTAATTCATAAAATATTCTCGAAATTCATAGAGCTTTAAGGTGATATTATTTCTGTTAATCTCAAAAAATATGAGTTTTTCAAAACATTTTCCGTGAACTTCAATTTACGCTTGTTCTATTGTTGGGAGTTTTGGTTTTTGAAGATTTTTTGTTTCAAATTAATTGTAAAGCTCAAATTTTTCTCTTGAGTTAATAGAAAGTAGAAATGAAACGAAAAATGATGTTAGTTCTATGGTTAAATAGTTATAATTATAATTCAGTATTACAGTTTTTGCACAATCGAGCTTACCTTCAACAGCAAATAAAAAAGCTGCTTTCGGTGGCAGTTTCGAAGGTGCCATTGTCCAATGTGTTTGAATCAAGAGGTTGCATTGGCAGAATCATGCCATGTGCTGTGACACGATTAAAATGAGTTTAAAAAGCTATTTGTTTCAAAAAACCGTACAATCATAAAAGCTGTTTTTCAGAAACTTTCTAAGTCAAAATAACTCTCAATTTTTTTAAAATGCATGATGATTTATTACATTTGCGAAAACAAGTGTATTGCAACAATTGTTTTGATTTACAAACAGCAGAAGTAAATGAAAAAACTTTGATTTTGTATATTTTTTTTAAATTGATTTCGGCTTATATTTCATTGGTTAGTTGCCTTATATTGCGTCGTTTGATGACCGAAAAGTTGGTCGTACGCGTGTGTGGGTGTTTCGAGGTGCAGTTATTGTTTGTTTTTATCTTTTTTTGTTCATCTGAAATGGTTTCTGCTCTGAGGCTTTCGACGGTACTTCCGACTTTTTAACCGCTTGGTAAGTTTTCTTCTGATGTTAATTTCACAATCTTTTGTCTTGGCATGTTTTTTCAGAGTCGATGAACGTAGTTCAAACTCTTATTTTGGTCTCAGCGATTTTTTTAGGAAAAGTCTTTCAATTTGCTTAGGCTGGAAAATATTTTTTCGTGGTTTGACATAATTTCTTTTTAAATTCGTTTGTTGAAAAGAAGGCGAACTCAACTATCGAATAGCGAAAGTGTTAAGGTCACGAAAACGTGATTGATTTCTAATTTCGAAAATGGAATTTAATTATCAGATTTCCCAGCGAAATAAAAAATTTATCTATTGATCCAAATTTCAAATACGTTAATTTCTTTAAAAAAAAGTGTCAATCATAAAATGTTCTGGAATTTTAAAGAGCTTTGAGGGTATGTATTTTTCCTTTGAAATTCGAAGTTGAGATTTTTTCGAAAAACAAGTCGGTATTTTTTTTCTGTTTAGTTGCGTCTATTGACTCTTTTCCATTTTTTATATTGATTATGTTTAAATTTACTAATTCGCAACAGTGACACAAACGTTCATCTTAGAATTGTTTCGACTGGGCGAACTTTCGGCTTCGTCAAAAATGGGCTTGAAAGTTTGAGGAAATTATTTTATTTCATCAAGCCAGCCTTTAGCTTGTTTCGATCTTTGTACTATGATTACACAAAATTAGGGACATTTTCTGCTATACGCCAAAAAACAACAGAAACTCAATTAACATGTTTGCTATGTTTTTTTCATAACCAATCTAGTTTTTGCGGCAGTTCCGATTTTTTTTCGATTTTTCCCGCTTGTATCGCCATTGGTGCGAAGCTCCGCTCCGCCTCTAAATACATAATTTGCCTTAATGCTCTCCAGTTTTTACATGCAAAGTTTGGAAGTGTTAGCTTTTTTGTATTCCAAATGTTTACTTGCAAAATTTATGTCTATTTATATTTGCTGCATGGCATTGGTAATTTATTAGCATTTTAGCTGCTTTATTGGCGGCTAGTCTTTGTAAATTTTTGATTGCCCGTGGTTGTTGCAAGGAAGAGCGATTTAAAATCTTGTGGTCGCAGGTTCGAATCCTCCGTTGCAAAACTTTTCATTTTCAAGCTTGTTGGCCGTTTTTTTCCTATTTCATTTTACTGCTATTTTGTCGTTTTCTCGCTTGTGTTTGCGAAGCACAGCTTCGCCTCCGTAAATAAATTGTTGTCAGACGTGTTCATAAATTGTTGCCATAAACGAACAAGGATAGCTAGTTACTGTGCAATTAGCACAGAATGTTCCGAATATAGTCTTAAAAACACCCAACTTTTTTCTTTTGAATTATTGTCTTTTTTTTGCGTGGTGTGATAAAAGGATCTGAAAAAAACTTCAACTTCGGCATATTCGACAGTCATAGTTAAATTAGCAAAATGGAAAACAAATCTAAAGAAAAATGACTTAACACATCATAAAAAGTTTAAATAAATTCAAAAAATTTATCAGTGTTTTGCAAACTTTGAGTTTTTGATTCTCAAAATGGTGTTAAAAAACTCCGAAAACTAATACGTGAGTAAATTTTTCTAAGCATAAGTAAGCTATTGTAAACGGCTTAGATTGAGCATAAATAAGCCTGCTCGCTGGCTTTCTTCGCTCGAAATTAGACAAAATCAAAAATTTTATAACGGTTTTTCTCGACACTGAAAACTTTTTAAATTTTTTTAATATGATTCGAATTGCGACTAACAGGACATTTATATGATTTATCACTCATTTCACTCCGATGATTATTTTTGCTACCTGATTTTGCCAGGAAATAAAAAAAAATAAAAAAACAAACACACCTGAATACAAAATTCCTCACCGTTTTCAATGGTCGGAACAAAAAACTAAAACACCCCCGAAAACAAAGTTCTTCCCCTTTTTCAATAAACACACTAAAAACAAACACGCTCGAATATAAAATTACTCTGCATTTTTCAAATGGTTGAACAATAATACTTTTGCCTCATCTCTGTGTAAAACGTCACATGGATCAGGATTTCTCTACAATTTGCTGTTCATTCAGATTTAATTCGATGAGACTTACTCTCAAAATCGATTTTCTGTTTCTTGTGTTTTTGAACTGTTTTTGATGGCTAGATATTACGTTCTGACGGCTATATTTTACTATATAATGCAGTAGTAGATAGGTGAGCAAGAGTGGGGGGGGAGAGAAGGAAGACCCCCATGTTTTAAGATAAGGAATAGAGCATCCAGTCTTCAAGCTATGTATTAACATTGGGTATAGAGTCTACAATGTATTAGGATATGAAATACCAATGGTAAGGTTTTATGCTTTGTGTGATGGTAAGATAATGGTAAGAAAAACGATTTTTTTTGGATTTTGTGTGGAAATGACTAGTTTTTTCGCAAAAATTTCGGCGCGCGTTATCTAACTGTTGAATATTACTAGTTAATTACGTGTAGGTTGTGGAATTAAGGTTATTTAATTAGTTTTTTGATACATGGTAAGTCACTGATAAGAGTTTTTGGGCAAAAAGTTGAGATTTTTTATCCAAATTTTTTCAAAAAAACATCAAAACTCGATAAAGTTTGTTATAATTCGACCTATCAATTAATTTATTAGATATTCTTATATTTTGCAACATCTACATGAAATGTTGCTGAAACCTACTGAAACTTCGAAAAAAAGTCAATTTTTTGAGAGAAAAAAAATAAATCACAAAGAAAGTTTATAAATCACTGCATCGTATTTGAATTTTACCGCAACTTCATGATAAAACACCAACAAAATACTGCCTCGTACAAAAGTTTAATACCTTGCATCACTTGTTGTAAACTTATTACATTGCATGAGTTCGGATAAGTTCAATGGTTTTGTATGAAATCCATCATTTTGAACTTGTCTTTTTGGACAAAAATAGCTTAATCCTTTCTTTGTCTGTTCATATGTGGCCACCATATGATTTATAGTTCTGATAGTAGATGTGAGGTTAACTTCTTTATCGAGCACTCTCCTGTACTTTGCCATGGTTCCATCTCCAGAATCTTCTAGAACTCGTTTGTTCAAACCTTTGCTACTGAATTTGAACTTGTCTGACTTGTTTTCATAGCAACAATAAGTTTTGCTAC